GGGTACGTTATGGGACGTTTTGAAAATATTCTCATAAATTCCTACCAGTTGTTTTCTTTTAATTTCTTGTTTGTAATAGTTGAAACGTTTATAAAAATGGCAAAAGTCGGGTATTCAACACCAATTTTGAAATTTCGAAAATTGCGAAAGGTCAAATTTTTCGAACCATAATCATGTATTTAAATGCTAGAGATATTTAACGTAGCCAGTGGATTGTTTAATAGTAGAACATTAAATTTTGTACAAAAATGATGGTACAAAAATACATATCTTAGCTTCACTTACTCGTATATGCGGTATGTATACGACGTAATATACATAGAATAGAAAAAGTTATGTAACACTACGGAAAATCTGTTTCGAGATTTCAATGGGTGTTCACGTATTGAGTTCCCCTGTAAACCGAGAAAAATGTTTTCAAAAAGTCCGTCCGTCCGTGAACAACACCATCGCCTGGACTATTCGTAGAATTCCTTCGAGAATGACTATTTCCCGATCGATCTAGCCCAACTTGAAGCTCTGCAATTTGGATAAACATTCTTTAAATTTCGGGGGACTTCATTTGTAGACCGTAGTACATTTTCACAATTTTCTCAAAAATGTGTGTTCTCGTGATGAATTACATTCGCATATAACACGTATTTATTGTCATAAAATTAAAGAATCGAATAAAATATTGTACATTATACTACAAAAGGCATTTGCCGAGAAACTGAGATTCCCAGGCCAGGTTAGTCTTTCGGAACGCCCTCGCATACTCATGGAAACACCCTTGCCTTGTATTGTAAATATCTCTTTAAGAAATTCGATTCAATTATCTCTCGGCTACCAATGAATTTTTGCTAATGATTATAATAATTGCAAGTTAAAGAAATTCAGCTCAACAATTTAATGGTGTTGACTGAAATTGTTCAGTACAAATTTACAGGGTTTCTTTACAGATTTCTGTTTACAGATCCCTTACAAAATAACAAATTTCAAAATCCAGAGATAGCTAAACGTTCCCGAAATAATGACATAATCAATATATTCAACGGAAATTCATGCGAGTGCTTTGTGGTATATGCAAGCCACTGTCCATAGCGCGAATGGTATTTATTAATTTTAGTATGTTAATGAAAAGAACAGGCCATTAATACTTATATTAATAACACTTTAGTATCAATGCGTGAAAAAAACAAGTTTGTCCCCGGCGTGAAATTGCAGCTCGTCCTAATATTGTTTGTGGAGAGTGTGGAGTAAAGATGATACATTAACTTGATGTGAACCAATTTTATATATACCGAAAAAAACACGTATAAATTTTTACATTATACCTATTTTTATATCGAATAACATTAAGTTAAAATTTAATTTTGAATGTCTACATCAATAATCGAACATTGAACAGTTTACGGTGGTGTCACCGTATATCAATCGGCGAATCTCATTAACGAACTTCTCATGTTATTTTAATTGTAAATATTTCAAAAGAAGATAATTTCGTTTAAGTGATTGCTTTGTAAAGAAACCTCTTAAGTAAAATTAACATGTAAACATTCGGATTGTTTCTGCTTTCGTAGCGTGTAATATTCAGAAAATTTATCAGTTCAGTACATTTGTCGTTTTGCAATATCATCAATTGTGTTAGATGTCATTGCCGTTCATTTACGTGTATGTTTCCATCATTCCGAGAAAACCAAAGCGTTGAAAAATAAAATAATAAAAAAAATAGCTATACAATTTCGGCAGTAGTCTCTGACTAGCGGTCACGGAAATTATTGGCTCATATTTTACAGATCATATTCAGGAAATTCTCACTCTTATCTAACGGCTTCTTTCCATTTTAGGATGTAATGCGTACTCGCTTCTGGGTCTGACCTGTTTGTGAGAAAGTTACTGATATCGATGTTATGATTGCAGTAGTCAGCATTTTGGTTATCGCGTTTGGCGCACGCAGAGAAATGCAGAAAAAAACTTTTTTCGAAACGTGACCTTGCATGATAAACGGCGAAGAATTGAGTCCAGCTGAGGCAGCACGTTCATGATCAAGGACGTAGAGGACGAACAACATTGTTGCTGCCTGCTTTTAAATTAATTCTGAACTTAGTATCAGCAGGGGGGGGGGCGGGGGGCTGTAGTCCCCAGCAAAATTGGAAAGCGCCACCATAGCCACACGGAATAAAATATTTTATTTCCGCACGTGTGAAATCCTTGAAGCGGCGTTTGTATCATATGAATACATTTTAAAATTTACAGAGATGGGCAACGGATGAATACATTACAAAGTCTATTAATAAATTAGTACCATATGTATTAAGCAAAGTCTAATCGTCTAGGGATAAAAAATTGGAACAATTAGGACGTTTTACGTGGTTGTAAAAGTAAACACTTGAAATGAAGTCACCAAGTTGTTGACTAGCTATTTTTCAATAATGCAAATTGAGTTTTGTACTTATTTACGAATGCCTTTTTAATTTTTTCCCATTCCACAACCGCCAAAAAATAAGTTACAAACATTTACTGAAAATTGGATAAGTGGCTGTGAAAGCTAGGAACCGTCTCTGGTTTAACGCTCGCTGCGCTTTAAGGCTTTTACTTTTCCCCCAACACAGCCCGATTACACCCCATTCGGTTTTCCTCGTGAGTGCAATGAATAGTTTGCTTAGATATCAGTACTTCGAAGATGGTTCTTTCGCAGTTGAAAACATGAAAGAGAAAAAATGCTCGTTTTAATGTTTTTTAAAATGTAATGTAAGATTGCATTAGCAGCAAGGTCATTAGCGACCACATGATTGATTTTTAACATTGGGGTAGGGGTAGTCAGTTGTCAAGATCACCGCCAGATAGCATCTCCGCGTAGGGGCCATTTTACATCCGCTCCTGCGTCGCTACCCAGCAGCTAAAATTAGGAAGGGATTAGGACAGTGGTAGGGTTTCGAACGCTGCAGATGGTTTGGACTGACCCCCACTCTTTTTGATGTTTATTTTGTATTACTCTTGTTTTGTAATGGTCAGAATAGGGAAATATTGTTATTTTGGAATTCAACTGTAATGATGTTCTTTATTCATTGAAATTGTTTTTTTACTGTACACAGAGCATGATCTACTCCAAGGTGGAAGGAAACGGGAGACATGGTCCTCCCTTACAATATTCAGAATTAAAATAATTTTATTTTTGTTAGATTGCACGCACAGCTCCGAAGATTCCGCTACTTTCACCTGTGTTCCACGTTCTCTCTCGAATGGTTCATCCGTGTTCCAGGTTTTCTCTGTGAACGGTGACCTCTATTTGCGCGGCAACTTAACCAACCCGTTTCCTCCGCCGCCGTTCTGAATCACCGTTGGGGATGCAATCGGACGATGGCTTCTCAGGAGGCCGGAAAGGAAAGAAGTTACAGCGGAGCGGGTGTAAGAGAAGCATGGCCGCGGGATACAATACGGAGATTTCCTTTCAGAACATTCTCAAATATTTCTGGACAAAACGTGGTTTTGGTACTTGCTCACGTGAATATGATAGCACGCAGAAAGCGAACATTATAGCAAAATCTTATGAAGTCAATTAAGAGTTCATTCGTTTCCTCCAGACTTGATGAATTGAAATAGTGCTGATCCATCGGCACTATTTTTAGCCTGGTTCTTGAATATTTTGAAAGAATTACGTAAAAAACAAACGTACGCGCGTGTATGTGGGATGGCTACAGGGGTGAAATTCGGTTATTACTGTACTGTCTTCCTGGCTTAATTAAAAAATAATCACGACCAGGTAAATGGGATTGACATTAATTAATTCCAATATTGTATTGAAATAAAAACAAAATAATCGAGATTTTTATGCAACTTTTAATATCCGGGGATAGACGACCTAAACATACGTATTATGTTTAAAATGTCTGTTACGGTACAAGAAACATTTTTAACATGGCAAATCTCGCTGGAGGTACCACGATGAGGTCGTCTGCGCCGAAGAGGTTGCAGGGTCGAGTTCTGCGTAGACAGGGTCGTATTTGTGATTGTCACTTCACTCTGCATCATCCTATCATCTCATAATTCACATTTCAAGGAGTAACAACCTAGTCGTATTGCTGAAAAGCCGATTCTATAAACTTTACCCACTCTAATCGTGCAGCGTGTTCAGTAATGGTCTATACGCAAGTAATAATAATAATAATAATAATAATAATAATAATAATAATAATAATAATAAAGAAAATATATATCTATATGCGGCTAAGGAATGTCCTTGGGCGTCCTGGGAGTGTGCGTCGCCTCGAGCCAGGGCATCCTATTTATTTATTTATTCGTGGCCACGAGGTTGCTTTTCGCTCTGTCTTCGATTCATATCGATGCGCAGCCCCTTTTGTGTGATAGCATTTTCATTTCAAATGAGGTGATCAAAATGTAATGGAAGTGGCTGGGCAGCCTGGGCTTTTGGCGACGCTGACGCCGCAGGAGCGGCGGCGCCCAGACGCTCGGCCGGAAGGGTGACCTATGCCACTGCCACTGTCGCCACCGCCACCGCCATCGTTGCCACCGCCTCCGCCTCCGCTACTGCAACCACCGCTATCGCCACCTCACCTTCCCTACCTCGACGTCGTCCTCCACCTCCGCTTCCACTTCTACTGCCATCGGCACCACCTTCACGATTGTATCACAGTGATTACGTCTGCATCACTGCCGGCCTCGTCGCAACTACCGCTTCCATCTCCGCAGCCTCCATGAAACTCCGATGCGCTTTGCCCTTGACGTGGGCCGATTATTCACTGGTGACGGCCGGAAACGTATGTAGAAGAGCTCTCGCTTCGATCGCGAGGTTCTATTCTTTTTTCACGTTCACTTTCGTTGTTTTTGTTAATGACAAAGAGGCAACTTGTATCGTGTGACATTCTTCAATGACACATTTTTCGTACCTGCCAATCCGGAGCATCTAACAAATTTTCTTGTGCATGTCTATATGTTCTGTATTGCTATCTACACTTCATACTTACAATTGTATCTACATTATCTTTATAGTTTTATAGTTAATTAAAGTTAGTGAAGTATGCAATGATGACACACATTTTCACATTGATGTTAGTGGTGCACATCCGTTTTCATTGTTTGTGGATCTCAAAGTGAGTGTAAAACCGCATTACATAACTTATGACAGATTCAATTTTTTATAAATACTGCATAGCAGGTGTCATGACTGTGCTGTTCGATGCGAGTAATATTACCGTCAATTTTAATCATAGGTTCACATAAATTATTTATTCCTAATTAAATTTGTAATTAAAGGCGAGATATTTTTTTGGGGAAAAGATTCAAAGCAAGAGACCCCGATCGGAAATCGAGCCGGGGTCCCAAAGAAAGACTAGCTTATCTGGCTTGCAGGATGGAAGGTGATTGTGTTAGGCAAGTTATACTGTCGGTATTTCCGTAACATTCATCATAAAACAAGGCAAATTTCTCCAAATACCGGCCGCTATAGTCATAGATTACGGAACTTCTCCCAATATTGTTAATAATATAATACTTGTGTAGTGTTACGCAACTAGTTTATAATGTTAAGCTTTAGTGCACGAGTATAAGTTTTGAAAACTAGGTACCTTTGGAGCAAGTTTTAAAATTTGTACGAATGTAATAAATCAAAATTATAAACGAATTCCATAAGCTATATTTTGTGTAACTTATAAGATTTTTGTGTAATTAATGAGAGAATCAACGTTAATTTTTGATAACAACTTTATGACATCGTGTGTATACATTGACGGGTATTCGACATGTGTGCGAAAAAAACAGGACATGGCTGCGTTTGGCTGAATGTGTTTTGTCTCAATACTTTGTGTTATAAACGTAAAGTACGTCATAATCTGTATCATAAAATGTCGTTTTATGCACGATTTTTTGTGACGAAAAATGTTTATAATGCTGGAATAAAAATATTATTACATACCATTTTCATAAATATTTAAATTTTGTGGATGAAATCCCTCATCATTTTGGCTTTAGATCAAATATTTTTATGAAACAACTCACGATTTTCAGCACGTGATCATTGAATCATAGGGTAATTAAGCAGATACTTTTGAAGATATAAGCAGTCCTTGACATGATACTCGTATTGAGAACAATTATAGAATTGTTTATCTATTTGCTTCTAAAGAATGTCAGACTAGGTAAAAAAACAACAAACACCGCCATCAAAGTCTACGTTTTCCAAACATCCATTTTTATTGCATTTTTTAAGAAATCTCGTTATGAAGGTATAGACAATCATTTATTGATACCAAGCTCCAATATCACTTTAACAGACTGTCATCCGGTCATTATACCTATATGTTTTAAAGTTCGAATGGTACACTGCTGTACCATGTGCTGTCTCGAGGTCGAGAGTCGTAGCAATCAATTAAAATAGTACATTTTGAGGGGTACTAAGCAAACATTCACGAATGTTGAGTCTCGCAAGTTTGCAGTCTCAATTGCAGTTGCAATTGGAATTAAAAATGTAGTCTCGCAAGTTACCATATTGATGTAAGCGCAAAAGCGTTGACACTGGGGCAGATTATGAAGAAATGCGAAGCTGAAAGGTATTAATTCGTTTGCGTCATAGTTCAGTGGCTCTAAATGTTTTCGAATCAGCTAACATTACTCTGAAGAGAGTCGGATACAAGGCCTGCCGAGAAAAAGTATATTAAGAGCTTGAAGAAGATAACCGCACATCCACTCACTACGACTGTTCCTCGCCCTACATTTCGGCTATTCCGTTCGTTGCTTTGCCCACCGTTCATTGTTTTGCCAGGTCTCCTGATTTTTCTCTGGAGCTACTTGAAACGAGAACAAATGTAGTGTATTGTTCTTTCTTGCCGTGTACGATGTTGTGACACCTACAAATTAAGTTGTTTCTAGCAGGGCCGGCGATTGGTGTTAGGAGTGAATGGGTAGTTGTCCTCTATCTCCCCCCTCTATCTCCCACTGAAAATGTATATGAAGGGATAAATATAAACAAGATTTTTTTTCAAATTATCATGTTTATTATTAAATTGTCATAAAATTATTACATTTTATCGTCGGTTCATTTAAGCGACGCAAAACAGCACTGTTTTTTAAATATAAATTAATTTAACAAGTTTTATAAATCTATTTTGTCGGTCATATTGCTAGAAACGTGTAAAATTGCAATATTATTCAGCAAATTTTGCCACGTAGTTGATCGCATATTTGTTTTGAATCGACGTAATACCGACAAACGTCGTTAATTTGTGGAATTTGGCGATTATGGAATATTTCTGAAAATGTAGCTTCACTATGCGAACGTTTTGTTGAACTCTCCTTTTGCTTGTAATGGTAAGAGTAGAGGTAAGGGAGAGTTGCTATTTTGTGAGAAAAATCATACCCGCAATGCGTGTACCAATGAAAGTAAGTTTCCTATAACTCAAAAACGAAAATGACTATTATTCAAATATTGCTAATTTTACGATTTTTAAAATTCAGTTTTGTTTATGTTAAACTTTAACTCATCTTTCAACTATTTATAGTTAAAATGACGGGATGGGATACTGGAACTCAAGAAAACGTGCGCAGATAATCTTCTCCCCTCTGCGTCACATACAGTTTTTACTGTTTTTGACTGAATAAATCTAAACCCAAATTCCGAGTGGGTATTTTACTCACTCGGAATTTTTCGTATGGGTATAGCTACCCACCATAACCATATTATTCGCCAGGCCTGGTTTCTAGACATTCAGAAATTATCTCTGCTCGTGCACTCACGTGCAGTTGCATGAAGGGAGGTCTACTTGACGTTCAGTGCCTACTGTAGTCGTGTAATGTGGATTTATATGTGAATATTATTTGTTTTACTTTTTACTAACTTATCACCGGTTTTGTTTCTAGCAATATAACAGAGTGATGAAATTTACAGAACTTTTTTTCTTTTTAACGTTCTCATAACGATTTTTCAAATTCAAATGCTCGTGAACTAATGCTGTAATAACATAACTCATAAATAGAAAAAATCAGTACTTCCTCGTTGATCCTCATTATTCATAGGGTTAATTTTAATTAATTCCCCCATCTTCAGTCATACTTTTCGTTTCCCATCTGTAGAATGCCACCAGATTTACAATGCAATTGCGCTCAGTTTTAATTGTTACATTAACGTGTGTCTCGTAGAACAACAGTGAATCGTGGCGTTTCGCAGTGTAAGGGAATGTAAGAAAGGTCGTTGAAGTGACCGTGAGTACATTTCTTTTCCCTTCACTCGCGCATTCCCTGTTCAGTCAGTTACTTAGAAAAGGTTGTAGTGACTGGAAACACTCGTTGGTTAGCGTGCTCGCTTTCCACGGGGCAACCCCCGGGTTTGATTTCCGACCGAGGCTAATTATAGCCGTGCGCTTTCCTTACAAATGTCTTATTACCTATTGCTCTGTGATGATGAAAAAGCCCACTCTAAGGTGAAAAAGCCCAGTACATAGGGTGAAGAGATGTGCTCGTGCTGACCACACAAACCCTTTATCCCATGGCGGAGAGGTAGGGTCATTGCTGATCGGCCAAGACCCGTACCGAACTGTCACACCAAGAACAGTGCAGTGACTGGAAGATTCGAAACCATTTCAGTGTTCAAAGATCAAAATGGAAAAATGATTTCAACAATATTTTTGACAATTTAATGTAAATATCGAAAGAGACATTTGTGTGGAGAGACATCAAAGTAAATACTTCTGAATGAGTGTTATAAAATACATATATCACATAAATTAATCGACTGTTCACAAAAGTCGTGACATACAATGTTCGTATTGCTATTCTCATCATGTTTTTGGGTTTTCTCCGCCTGATCTGGGGTTTTTGTTGATTCTCTGTGTGTTATCGGCGGGTAAACAATTTGGCTCTACACGAGTGTTTTTGATAAATTATTTAGTGTGTATATCAAGGATTGTTGTTACAGAAATAACTACACCACCATTTTCTTCCTGAATGAAACTGACATTGCATGAAATATTTAATAATTATTCTGCTTCACTTTTAAAAACATAGGCGCATATGACAGCGCTGCATGAATCTGTTTAAATAAACAATAATAATAATAATAATAATAATAATAATAAACCTTTTGAATCTTAAAACAAACAAAACATTCACATAATATTTAAACTTATTACGATGTTCATCTCAAATCATGCGCTTAAATCACTATTAATTCAGTTAGTTCTTTTCTTTTATATTGAAATGAAAGAAATTGGTCTTCCTAAACAAGTAATAAAGGTCGTGGATACTTCCTTTTGGTCAGTTGTCACGCCACACTTAAGACTTAGCTCCTTATCACTGGGAAGACACCAATTTCCAACTGGTTTTCTTGAAACATGAGCTAAGACTAGTAGTTGGGCATGAATGCAAAGAGTGCGTTTCGCCTAGTGTCAAAAATTTGTTATTCACGACAGAATTCAATTCGTTATTAAAATGCGAGACTGCAACGATGTATACCCTTTGAATGCTGAAATCGCGCACGTTTAAGCAGAGCTTGCATGAGTACCAGCTGACGAGATCCTAGTGGAAATTTAATAAAAACGTGGATAAAACGCCCAGCAGGTGACGTGTAATATTGTCTTTAACGTATTTAGTGCTTGAAATGGGATTCTAACGCTTGTATATGCTTATAACGTAATAGTTGTGATATTCTAGGAACCAGAAACGTTGTTGCTGCAGAGGTTAATCTTGTTTTCACACGAGGCGGCGCGAACTTCACCTCTCGGCTCTCCCCAAACTGACAGTAACTATTTCGCAGTCTTAACGCCCTTTAATCTCGAAAACTTACAGTTAGGGGTTTAACGTATAATCTTATGTTTACATCGCATTTTTAAAAAAAAATCAGGAAAAAGAGGAAAATGGTTTTGGTTTCTATAAATCAGTTAAATGTGTCTGTTACCTGTATTGAGTTATATGTATTGTGTGTATGTTTCATTTGTATAATTCCTCTTGTGAATGATTCCATCAACATTTTCTTGCGTTGACGGCGAATCAAATATGAGAGAAGGATCAGCTCGTGTATTTCAGAGTCAATGGTGGTTAATTCACAGAAGCGCCACAATGGTGCAGCATTGGCGACGTCAAACCGGTTGCCCGAGGACAGTGGGGCGTTGGCGGGCTTATAGCTTTACGATGTTAGTCATATTCTCGAAGACCTGGGATGTGGATCAGTGCCTTCAAACGAAGCACTCTAATTACCTTCAGGGTTAAGTGCGCTGGTGTGTGCTTGACATGTTCCGCAAGGCTAAAACAAGATCTCAGAGGAGACAATGAGAAAAAGGTGGAGAAGTGAGCAGATTTCATAAGAAAGCTGAGATTTGGAAGTCTTAGAGACTTATTGATTTACAAAATCATATAAACCTTATCTATTCAGGAATACTGAAAATATTTTTAGAACATTATGGGTTTTGGTTTATAAAAAAATTGGAATTTTCTATAAAACCAAATTTCGTAATTTTTCTTTCTTTAAATGAACTGTATTAAACCCTAGATGTTATTACGTTCTCTTCTTAATGTATTATATAAAAACTACATTTTCAAAAATATCCTGAAATTAATAGAATAAACGATTAACCGCCGTCATTTGTTCTTTGCGGTGTTTTCTTGGGCGAATTTCAATCAATTTTTCGAGAACAGTCGAGTCGACCGGGACAGTTGGTTCAGAGCATCAACTGACGTCACTGCTATGCCTCTCACCGGGAGGTCTAGGGTTCAGGTCTCCACGGTGACAGGATTTTTGATAGCTAGGTCAGGTTCAGTCGCTGAATGGAGGAGAATTCTAGCGGCCGACTGCTCTGATGGGTAGTTTCCCGTGGTTTCTCCGATTAATACCTGGCGAATGCCGGAGCGGTACCAAAACGTACCACGGACCGTGCGCGATCTTTTCTTCCTGTTCCTTGTCCTATTTTCTGGCCCTATGCACACACACACACTTACACTAACACGCACTACATAAGCACACATGCCGGGAGACCGGTCGGGAGCTTAGACCTTGTCTCAGCTGGGGCGGTGCCCTACTTGTGGGAGATACCTGGTTGGGGAGGCCCCTCTAGGTCGGTGTCGGATCTCGCCATTCAGCGAGGAAATGATCACCGCCACCGCCAAAGCAAAACATGCACTACACTTATGGGAATAAATACACTTAGTTGACGTGCCCGGAATCACCAAAACAATCAATCAATCAAAACCGCCACATCCCGAGGATAAAATGACTTACACTTACGGGGCTAATGACCTTAGCAGTTGACACGCGCGGAATCGCTCATCAACCGAAAGCCGAAAATATATTCCCGCCCATAAGTCATTATTGACAAAAACCTCTGATTCATAAATCAAGAGACAAGGTAATAGTAAATTTCGAGATTAATTAAGATATACTTGTAAGAATCTCGCGTGTAGTATTTGCTTATTATTCGTACCATATTTTTGTACCCTAAGTCTGGGTACTATAACATATATTTTCTCAGAATATTATGCCAGATCTCAGTCGGGAATTAATATTCGCGAAATGTACAGAACGAATAGCATGAACGCTGACTGAATTTGAAAGTATTCTGAACGCGTAGCATAATGAACTTAATTTTGGGTTAAATTAATTTAAATGTACATTACATTTGATGTTTAGCTGAGTTGAGAGACCTAAAATTGTGTTGCCGTAACGTCAGTAAATAGCTCATCGTTCATTTGCAATGGAGTTCAAAATTGTTTACATGAAATGAGTAAGTTCATTGAAACAGTTCTCTTTTCATTTACTATTAATTTGATATTACGGAACCAATTTAAAACTTCTGATATTGTGCTATTTACGGTTTCTTTATTGCAAGGAATATTCATATCATCCGCAAAGAGAACTGTTCTTACGTTTCGAATCGTATAGGGCATGTCGTTTACGTAAAGAGGGAAGAGAAAGAGAGCCTAATGTCGAACCCTCTGGGACTCGGAAAGGTGTATAGCTAATGTTTTATCATTCCAGGAAGGTATTTCTACCCTCTCAGATCGTTGTTTAAGGAACGAACTTACTTTAATGAGTAAAAGTAATAATAATAATGAAAGTACGAAGAAAATAAACTCGATAAATCAAGTTTCACGCAAGTCGTGTTAAAAAGATATTGATAGGAGATGAAGAGAACAACAATGATTCTTAGAAACTTGTATTACCTCCAGGTAAATTATCCCTCTGACCGGGAGGTCCTGGAATCTAGTTCCGACATTGGCAGGATTTGCAACACTAGCGTGTTAGCTAGGTGAAATTCAGTCGCTGTCTGGAGGAGAATTCCAGTGGCCGGCCGCTCTGTTCGATAGTTTTCCGTGGTTTCTCCGATCAACAGGCGAATACCGGAGCAGTACCTTAACAAACGGGCCACGGACCGTACGCGATCTTTCTTACCTCTTCCTTGTCCTATCATCTCGCCGTGCACACATACTTACCCTAACACCCACTACACTACCACACATACCAGGTGACAGGTCGAGAGCTTAGAGCGTGTCTTGCCTGGGCCGGTGCTCCGCTGGAGATACCTGCGTGGGGAAAGCCCCGTTGGCGAAACCCCCGGATCTCTCAGTCCAGCGGGGGAAGACCACAGCCATCTCGCGAGGAAAAAATGCACTACACTTACGGGACTAACGTTCATAGTAGTTGACGCGCCATTTCAATCAATCCAGAAAAACTGAATGAATAAATAAATGAATACATTTTAACTCGGAATGCAGCAACAGGACCTGAATCCGTTGAACTCAACGTACAATATATTTTGTGTATTTTCTGCAAAACACGCGTAAGGTAATTGAGATGAGTATTATGTGAACGAAAAGACACGTTCATTACCCATTACAGCCTGTCAGTATCTGTTTCTATGCCCCAATTTGTATGTTTTCGAAGGCTAGTTATTGATGTAGAATTTCTAATTAGAAATTTTCCTTATATTCCATTTAATTTCGAGTCTCTGATTAACTTACCGACTGTACCTAAAAATAAAATTAAAAAGATAATTATTTTTCCATAACAACAATTCAAAATTAGCCGTTTTTTCAGAAACATAACGAAAAATAACTTAAGCGACTTATTTTAATTTATTTTCGCGCCTTTAAATGAGGTAGCAAAACCAACGATAGCGACGGGAGTCTAATTAAGGACGTTTGTGTGTTTTTCCGTCGAACTGCGAATTACACCCGCACTTTGCAAAGCTATCTAGTTTTAATGTAAAAGTATTGGACTTACTACGAAATTAATAGTCTGGAACGTTGTCGGCCTTCTGCCATCCGAATTGGCAATTTGAAAACAAGGTTTCGTCTGGTTTGATATTCTGTAATTTAGAGAAATGCATATACGGTAATTACCTTTAATTCTTAGATGTAGTTCGAAAAAAAAATGTTAGTCAACTGGAACCAAGATGCAAAAGTAAATCGTTCTGTAAATCTTTCTTCCCTTTTATGATAATAACGATTATAAAGATTATTCTTTAAAATATGAACAGAAATGTAACATATTATTCTTCATTTCTTGTGATACAAATACTGAACTTCAATGTATCATTAACGCATTAATGCACTTTTGTCAAGTTTCTATGCCACTGAACCATTGGGCGCAATAGCTCCCCGGTAGTGGCAGTCCTAAATACGTTTTTCAGGAGAATGAATTGACATTTACTACTGTGCATTCACTCGACATTCATTGGTGTGATAGTTCAACCTAGAATTGGAAAACAAAAAGTGCAACTGCACATGCGCAGCATCTTGAGTGATTCCAGAGTCATCTGCGGAATAATTGACTACCCACGAACAACGAGCTGTAACTTTCTCCGGCATTCATCGCGGTGTCGCCACGCGTTCGATGCTGTCGCTGCCTATAGGAGAATTCTAACGCCCAGCTATTCTGTTCGGGTGTTTTACGATCAACTCCAGGTGAATGCCGGAGCAGTACCTTAACAAACAGGCCACGGACCGCGCGCGATCTCTCCCTCCTCATCCTTGCCTATCCTCACCCTTACTTACATTTACATGCACTACACTACTACACATGCCAGGAGACCTGTTGGGAGAAACGGTGTAGTTAAGCTTCTATCCCTGCACAGTATTTCAGTCTGCGTGCGCGTGTTTGTGTGCGTATATATATATATATATATATATATATATATATATATATATGTGTGTGTGTGTGTGTGTGTGTGTGTGTGTGTGTGTGTGTGTGTGTGTGTGTGTGTGTGTGTGTGTTTAATGTTGATTAAACTCCAGTACCCAAAGGCAAGTTTCGCTCCATACGTCATAATTTTATTTCACGACGTTGACAAAACTGTCATCTATAAGTGAACTAGTGAATTACCAAGAAAATCGAGCGGCAGATTTCGTTTCAATACGAATTCATTCGTATATCTGTATTTTTAACAAGAAATTTATAAAAACTACTAACAGTTGTGCCTTGAAACTTATTAAATTTGAAGAATTTAAAGAGAAAACGGAGAAACCAATACTGTGAGTAATGTTAGAGTAATGAACGTTCTTACATTCCACTTCTTCTTTACGTTCGTAAGTGTGCAAATAGAGATTTTCAAGTGAATGTGACCCCCATCTTTTTCTTATTAATCTTAACTTAAACTTTATTTGCATAAATATTCAAAACAGTAGCCTCTTAATGTTTGTATAGATTCTCATATAAAACGATTAATAGAACACAAAGTATGCTGAAAGTTTGGAGTTCCTCAAAATATATTAAAAAGGTAGTGGAGAAAAATATGGAAATATGAAGCAAATCCATGGAACAATGAAATGTAGTTGTAGAAGATTTTGGAACAGAATTTTTTGAAGTAATTGAGGATAATCTTTTATTAGGATTAGAGAATAATGCAGAACAGATTACATCTAATCGTGAATGTGCATATTAGCAAAGAAGCATAAGAAATGTAGCTGAACTGAACAAGTAACTATTCGAATCGTCAATACCTGCATTTTTATGGCGATTATAACTTTGAAGTTTTAAAATTACCAGTACATATCCCGTATGGTGAGAACATACAGGGCCATTAAATGTTGGAAATTTTTGAACGGAGGTATAACATGATCAGCTACTACGATTCATTCGTAAGTCCATTGTCAGATACTGTAAAAACACATTTGAACAAATTCGAATTAC